TTTGGACAAGTTACGCAGATCGTTTTTCTCCGTTGAGGGATTTATTCAGCTTTGTTCTTACTGAAGTATATCATATGATATATGATAAAATATTTATTTTCCATGGTCTTAATTTAAAGTACCAAAAGAATTGTAACTTCTGTGGACTTTCCCTATACTTCTATAGATGACACGATCACTTTATTGCGTAGTTCCGCACTTTTCTGGCACAATCTTTAATTATAGGCCGATTTTTTCTGTAGTTCATGCAGGAAGTGATTGTCTACAACCAGTCTTCAGTAATAAGGATAGTAGGTCGGTGAACCTGTATTAATCCTGACACATTGCTTTCCAGTGAAGGTCCAGCTTATCTTTGAAAGTATTCATTGATGGGGCTGATACTACTTGTTCGGGTAAGGCGTTCCAATCATTGACCACTCGATGAGAAAAACGGGATCCCACTTTAAGTTTATTAGATTGTGGTTTACGAACCTTCTTGCTATGACCTCGGAGATTATTAGTGCTAGAGGGAGCAAAAAGAAGACATATTAAAACCCAAATCATAATTAAAGATCCGAAATGCCAGTATAAGGTCACCTCGTGTCCTACGATACGACAAGGGGAAAAGATTTAGGCGTTTTAAACGCTCACCGTAAGGGAGTCCAGAAAGACCCTTTACTAATTCCGTTCCTACACGCTGGACACGCCCAAGGGAGTTAGTATCCTTTACCAGACACGGGCTAGCTGTTTGGATACAGTACTCTAAATGTGGTCTAATATAGATGGGATATAAAATTCTAAACGTTTCCTCGTCAAAAGATTTGAACGCTCGGCGAAGTGACCATAACGCACGAAAATCTTTGACAGCGGCTGCTTTGCAATGCTTAGTTGTTTATAAATCATGACTTAATACTACTCCTAAGTCTTTATGCTCTTGAACGCAAGGAAGAGGTTTATCCTCAATAGTATAACGGTAACTTACCGTGATCGATGTGCACTAGTACACTCTTCCTAGCATTGATTTCTAAGCCCCACTCTCGAGCCCATCTAACTAAATCGTCCAAGTGAGCTTGAAGATCCAGGTGATCAGTCGCACTTTTTATTGTTCTCCAGATTTTTACATCATCCTCAAACAATGATGTCGACGACCTAATTAACAGCGGCAACTCCTTAACGGAGAGAAGGAAGAGCAGAGGGCCTAAGATGGTGCCTTGGGGTACACCACTTTTGACCGGCTTCCAATCGGATAGCGTTCCATTGACCCTCACTCTTTGTCTGCGGTCACATAATAAATTTCCTATCCACTCCCGTACAGTACCTAATATTCCGAAGCTCGTGAGCTTCTGCATAAGACCTACGTGTGAAACCTTGTCAAATGCTTTGCTAAAATTTAGGAATATCACATCGACAGACAGACCGTTATCTAGGGCTGTTGTCCAATCCTCCCTCGCAATAAGTTAGTCAAGCATGAACGCTTGTTACGAAATCCGAGTTGCTCATGAGCTAACAGATTGTGTAAATCCATGTGGCTTAGCAACCTAACCCGAATTATCTTTTCAAGTAACTTAACGACTATGCTAGTTAGACTGACAGGCCGGTAGTTAGATACTATCTCTCTTTGACCGTCCTTAAATATAGGACTGACTATAGCGTCTTTCCAATCTCTAGGGAGTTCAGCGAGTGAAACAGACATGTTGAAGAGTATCGCGAGCGGTTTTGAAATAATGTCCGCAAGAGATAACAGCAACCGTGGATGTAACCCGTCAGGGCCCGGTACCTTACCAGGTTTGAGGTTAGTTATCAACGGAAGGACAGTTTCCACAGTCACCTGTACAGATCCAATGGTTGGTATCTCGGTGTGAGTGGGACAAGTATTTGTTACAATAAACGTAGAGAAGACTTCTCTTAAAGTCTGAAAAAGTCTCGGCTTTTGCTCGATCTGATTCAGCTAGTAAATCTGAATTTTCGTGTAACAGTAACGGGGGAATACCATCACTACGTTTCATTCGCCGTTTAACATACGAAAACAATCGTTTCGGACAAGTATGGCTATCATATACTAACTGTCGTTCGTAAGTGATACGGGATTTGTCTATGGTTTTCTTACAGATATTACGGAATTTTTGATACTCACGCTTAAATGGTGCATGACCTGTCAACAAGAATAAGTCCCAGAAATGTTTCCTACGCTTTAACAGCTTTCGGGTTTTCTTATTAATCCATGGAGAGCAATGTGATAGCTTGCGTGCTGACCATGGGATAAACGGCGACGTTACGGACTCGAATGTAGCCTTAAACTTATTCCATTCATCCTCAATCAATCCATCCGCGTCGACCAACCAATCAGTCGAGATAGCAGTTTCTGATTTTCGGAATATTGGCTCGCCAGATATTGGAACGGGGTGGAGCAGATACGAATTGTATACCATGTGTCCTAAGCTTAAAGTGAATTATAACGTGATCATTGTTAACTAGTGGGGGAAGGTGCTGAATATCAAAGACATCCTCATAGTGGTGAGTGAGGGCGAGGTCCAGAAGTGACGGACCATGTTGCGAATCAATGTGTCGGTTTTGTGATGCATTGTACAAGTGCACACTGAATAACGGTAGATAAAAGGTCGCTATCGAAAGCACTACTTGGAGCTGTAAGCTCTATCCAGTTGATATGCGGTGCGTTGAAGTCCCCAATGATGAGACAACATTCTGCCATACTCCAAGAACAGATGTGTCTTAGGATAAAGTCGTCAGCAAGACAAAATGGACTACGGTATTTTCCCCCTATAGTCACTAACCCATTTCTAGATTTAATCTTACAACATGCAACCTCACATGTGCCACTGATATGTGCCTCCGATATGGTTGATTGTATACGAAAGTGATCCCTAACGTATAATATTATACCTCCTCCCTTGCGACTTGAAACTCTATCACTTCTGATACAGATATGACCTGCAATGAAAGGAGAACAGTCTATATCTACTATGAACCAAGTTTCTGTAACAACGATTATGTCGGGACATAATTCTTCCACCATCAGAATTATCTCGGACGTTTTATTTCTAAGACTACGAGCGTTCGTGTAGCACACACTTAAGGTGTTTTTGCAATCAATCGTTCTATCCATACAGGCCTCGGAAGTATTGGCTTCCAAGACCTGACTACCCGAAAACCCTTAATGGTAAGGTTATTTTCGCCATTTAATTTGCGAGTTCTCAACTCCGTAAGAGCATTCTTCCACTTGATTCGATCCTCAAGCGGCCAATCTGGTCGAATACGGATATTTGAGTCACGAGTTCTTGGTGCGTTTTTCAATGATATGTCTCTTTCTTCAAAACTCCCGAGAACCAGCTTCAGGATTCTTCTTGGTTGGGTCTCGCCTCCAACCCATTTACCAAGTCGTATTACTTTTGTAATATGTACCCCTGAAACCTCTTCAGGTAGTACATTCCTTACCATAGACCCCACTAACTGCAGGTCATGTGCACGTCTTCTAGCAGGGTCGTTGTCTTTCGACTCCTCTAGATTCCAAATAATTAAACTAGGGAGCGGTTTAGCTTCTTTTGGAACTGTGTTCACAGCTTTTGACCATGACGTTAGATCCTGTATTTTAACTCCTGGTATCTTACGATTAGTTTTTATTGTAACTGAGTCCTGGAAGTCGAGCGAGTGACGCACAATGTTAGACGAAGCTTTACTATGGGACTTTGGCGGAGTGGTCTGAGAGTGCACCAAGGACTTATCAAGTAAACGGTCATTAGTTTTAGCTGTCTTTCCTATTCTTCTGCGTTTCCGTGTCATTTATATTCCATCAGTCGTAGCATCCACATTAGACGCACTCGGGAAAGTAATTGTTTTATCTGGGTCACCGGTTGCTGCTGTAGCAATATGACCACCAACATCTAATGAGGTGCCACTCATTGATTGTTTCGGGGTAGACGGTTTAATAGCGGGTTGTACAGTTGGATGTCTGGCTTGCGCCGTGACAGCATTTACGACACTAAGGCAATCTTCGCCATCAGTACCAATGTTGCCAAATACAGCCCACATCAACCTTCTTATTAGCCAACACCCGGAGACTAATTGCTTCCTGGATAAGCAATGTTTTGCTCGAGCAACAAAAACTACAAAGCCAATGAGAGTTGGGCTTTGAGCACCTTTTATATGCAGTGCGGCTTAATCGGATGCACATCTTATGGAACCACTTATTACACTCATCACATTGCATCCCTTCCTCCACGGGAAATAAGCAATATGGTTGTCCAAATTTATGAGCAGATCTAGCCATCTTGAAAATCAACTAGAACAGTGACAAAAACAGGATATGTAAAAGAATTCTCAAACCTTAACTAAATGAATCAAGTAAAAGTCGACCAAGAATGCTTCGATGCAATAAATATACAAAAGCAAAACCGAAACACTCAATATGCTATCACTTCAACTGGGGTAGATGCAATTAAAGTGTAAGCTGTAGTTCCGATGCGTAATTTACGATCAAAACAGTTAATTAACTCAACGAGAAACAATACCACTGTCCTTTTAAATAGAGCGCGAACAAAAGGGAAATGAAGGGGAAACGTGCCAAAATGTCTGTTTTTTTCCTTTTAAGTCGATGTTTCAAATGTTGCTGAATTGTCTACTTTTCGTCTAAATACACACAGAAATGTTTACTTTTCAACTCCTGATCAAAGGCTGAATTGTTATTTTCGGCCACTAGTACTAGAGATATAAATACGGTGATATGCTGGAGAGAAGAATTTTGAACTATGTGTGAAAAACATTATAGCAGCTTAGACAAAATATAAACCATAGGACAAGCAAAATAGTAGAAAAAATACTTTATGCCGCCACTGTGTACATGCAAGGGATTACTGAGTCAATTCGATAAACTTAAACAAAACAGACCTCAATACACTGTACTTTTCTTTAGGCAATTATTCTTTACCCTTCGAATTGTTTACGTTTTGATTTTTACATGGCCATAAAAATCTCTGAGTTTTCTTATCGCTATTACAACTTCTTAGGAACCTGAATAAGTGGAAACGATTGCAGATGTAATAAATCCCCAAAATAAATAGCTCTGTAAGTCTTCAACATTGGATGCTGACCACATGTTTTAATGAACTCAGCTAGCTGAAGGTGCTCTGTCATTCATCACGAATAGGGACGCTGTGCTCAAAATCACCTGCAATCGCTAGCCACTCTAGATCATTCCATCCACGATATATTGATAGCCTGTCAAATATATATTCAAACCTCTTCAATTCTGTCTTCTGATTTCATTTGGTGGGTAAGCTTCATATTAGAAGGTATTGCTGGTTAAAGCGTTGTCAAACTCCAAATACCTATGGAATCTTCAAACCTAAGTCATCACAAACGCACAAGTAAGGTTAAGTCTCTGATGTCACTATTAACTGATTAAATAAATATCTTGGGAAAAATAACATATATATAGATGGATATAGACTTTAGGTGAACTTAGATAATTGGATCAGAGGCTCTAAGAAATGGGCGATACACAACAACTCGATCAAGCATGTTCATTCACATTGCGGATAATAGGTGAATGGTAGAAGTGTCGTATGCCACAATCCAGTAACACAACGATTTTTAGGTAACAGTGTGACCACGATTTAAACACACGGTCGCAGTTAAGAGCAGCATGAGAAGCTAGACAATGATTCTGTCCTGCCGAAACTTTAGGAGTTTTCTGATGGTGATGTATAGGATATTAAGAAATAATTTTAAACGTGATATATCCGGCATTTCTTCTCCCAACAGATTTGAGCAACTCGACGGACATACCGAGCGAGCAAAAAAGACAAGAACTAACAAAATACATGTGGCGATCAGGCTTTCACGCCAAATCATCAATACTTGGAAACTGTTATCTGAAGAATTGATATATACCCCTTCAACTGGCTCATTCAAAAGGAGACTAGATAATCAGAAGCTTACAATAGAAGGAATAGCACAGACCGTAGGCCTTCTGTTCTCAATATGCAAACCTCAATCTGATCTGAATAATAAAGCAAATACGTCACGTCATTTTGTCCTTCGTTTAGTGTACGTGTAGAATTATGGTCTACTTTGTTGTTAGTACTACTAAAAGAAATAGACCTAGCCCTTAAAGCATAGGTTTTTCGTGATGTAGCTACCGAATCTATAGGATCCTATGTGGAAGTCAGATTATTGTCAACACTGACTTATCGTACCGTAACAATTAACAGTATGGTACTTAGTACTTGTGAAGAAGACATTTAGGATGACGATGAGAATATATTTAATGTCAATAAAGACTAGTTATATAGAATGACCACGTTTGAGAGGCTGAGCCACGCCGTGCGATTGAATCGAATTAATACTTCCCACCTACTCCATTGTTGACCTTAACTTCGTGTTAATGTTAAATATGCATTTTCTCGGTTATCATATTTTCAGCTGTGAAGGTTGTGTGATTAGAAGGAATGGAACTACGTATGAAACTAATCGCTTTGGGAAATTAAGGCTATTGTGTTCCATATCGTGCTCTGTATAAAGAATTTACTTAACATCCTGACAACGATCGTTGCTACTATCATCATTAGCAAATCTTACAGATGACTTAAATAAAACTATCGGCTTCTGGTTTTGATCTCCAGATTGTCTTAATATGAGAACTGTGTTGTTTTTTAGTGTTGTTAGTCACTTTCCGTAGTAGGTGTAAGTGTGCTATGTGCGCTTGCTGGGTCTTTGACTCAACTTTTTTTTGTTCTCCTGTTTCACACTCCTCCTCACTCACTCAACTTTGTATGTTCCTCTGTGTCTAGACGTGAAACGCTTCGTCGTCTACTTTTAACTTTTCATATGAGTTTCTCAGAAATGCCGTTGTTGTAATAAGTCAATGGTTCGTTAATAACCTTAGTCTTAATCAATGCGCTCCACTCAAAATATTACCTGTAAATTGGTTTACTGTCTGGTATTACTGGCCTCGTAAAGAAAGAGTACGAGCAATAATACACACGAAAAGTCTCTGTCACTTTCTTTTCGTTTAGTTTCCATCTGTGAACTAGATTAGGTCTGCGTAAACCATTTGAAACATCTGTTGTGTAAACTGTTGTTCTGATCTCGGGTTAAATATTAGTGTGATAATTTGCGTACAATAATCCTGTATTGAAGTAAAATAATATGTGATGTGTTCATAGGTTATGCAGGGTGCGTTTCCGGGTAAATATTTCCAGCCTTCGCATTGTTCTGTGTCAGAACATGTTTTTCTCCCAAAAAATATATAAATCAAAGAGATGTCGTCGTTTAATGTATAGTGTATTGGGATTCTAGTGTATAAACCTCTTCTTTTATCTACGTAGGTAAATTTTGCCCTAATGCTAATAGTTTCTGCCGAAGAATATAGTCAATGCTTATTCTTTTGATCAGTAGAATACAAATTTTCTTAGTTTCTTATTTTCGCTCAGGTATTCAATTAGAATAGTTGTGTACATTGTGAAAACAGTAAAAAAGCACATCTGCTATGCATACATTTGGTAGCCTTAGCAACTTAGTAAATATCGGCTGAAGTTAACGTGATTCCGTAGCCTTGGTTTACCTCCTGAGAGCATTCAGCGATGAGTAGTTAGATCCAATATCATGAAAGTCCTCTTTTCCCCAGATTTGATGGACCTTATTACCGCTTTTTATTTCAAGTATGCGATTCAACATGATCTTTGTGTATAGAAAATACTAAATCCATTCCTAAGTATCTAACAAATTTTCCTCAAACTCATGAAGTCATTCCTAGTCGGTCGTACCTAAAACAGAACCCCGTATAATTATGTATCTACTGTAATTTCTTGAATTAGGGAGTTCGCATGCCTCTGCACACTTCAACCTTACAGTAATAAGACATTTAAACGCCACTCCACTACCCTTGGCACAGAGAACTGATGCCTTTAATCTTTACATTGGAAGCGTATCTAGTAACTTCATGTATCTGTTTACGTGTAGTAAGAGCACTGCTTCACTTTTCAAGACAGTAATACCGAGTTCTGAATGGACGAATGGTTTCGTCACTCGATACATGGTTCTCATAGTATCGTTTTTCGGAAACGATATTACCAGTTACTTTAACGTAGTACTGTGATTTTTGTTTTTACTTGTTAACTAACAATTTTCAGGATGTACTCCAACTTATTGCTCGCTTACCCTCCATTTTCTTATTTATATATGTGTAAAACACGAGTTTATCTCGTTATGTACACATACTATTTTAGTCAAACGGGCTACCTGTTTTAAAGCATTTTCTGTCAATGCATTTTTGAAAAAGATGGAGTAGTTGTTGCCTTTGCCACATCATAGTTTGTAGGTGAAGCAATGTATTCATTTTCTTTCATGTACTCTGATCCTCGTCCATCTTCATGATCTTCCGAAAATTTCAAATCTTCGTACAATTTTTACTTGATATTTTGTAACCGTATCTGGTCCATTCACGTATTTAAATTCTAATAGATAGCATACAGTTTTGGATTTCAGTTTATTTGTCAGTCCTAGCTATCTGATATCGGGCGGTGGTGTGATATTTCTTCACTCCTACTAATAAATACAGTGAACGGTACTACTCCCATTCACTTCGCTCCGCTATCTAGAGCAAAAAGTCGTCAACGATGGCTACAGTAGATTTTAAAATACATTTGGGATAACCAGTTGAACATCGACTAAGATAGCTACAGTTTATGAACATAGTAGTTCTCAATAAACCAATTATGGTGAAAAATGCATTGAAAGTTCATAGACAAAATTCATAATGTATAAGTTAGTGTTAAAATCGTTCATCCTAAGTAAATATTGACTTCCTCTCAAGTTGTATTTAGGTGCTTGGTGTCTGTATTATAACTATGTAGTGTCATTAATCCTTGCGCTTGCTAAAAGATTCTGATAATATACAAACACATGCATTTTGTCACTTCGTTTCTGGATAAATTTATCGTATTCTTCTGATTCTTTGTCACATTTTTGGTTATTTGTTCCCGTAAAAGTCTTATAACTGCTTACTATAATTGTCAAAACGACATACATATTACTTGTGTCTTATTTTCCATTACTTCCACTGCGGTTGTTCACTAATCCTTGTCTATTTTCCTGTTTTTTGTTGTCAGTATTTTTTTGATGAAAACAGAAGCTGTACCATACTCTAGTCATAGATAAGTGGTATATGATTGGTCTTCTGACTCGAAAATTATGACTTCATTCGGAAAATATGTTAGTAATTTTGTCAAAACAGCTGTTTCGTCTATTTCCCCTAATAAAGTAACACCTTATACTTTAAGCCAATACGAATCTGAATATGAAAAGTGAGTTCATTTTAAATATTCATATACTTAAAAATTATCCCTAGTTGTGAACAGTTACTACAACAAAAGTCAACTTATTATTTCTACAAAGTGGCAAATCATTTTGATATGGTTTACTTACCTGGATCAGTTGGCATTCCAGTCAATGGAGAGACTGTCTATGCTTACAGGTGTTTATCTACTTTCATTTATTCAAAATGTTATTCACTCTTAAATTTGTCTAGTTTATTTAGATTTCAAGGCGAACAAGAAGCAGGCGTCGCTGTATTTTTAAGATACATAGAAGTTTTGGATCCTCTGCATTTAGCCTGTATGAACATGAGTTTATCCATTGATCGCACATATTTGGAGAAAATAACTGCGCACTGTCGAAACCAGTGTGGCTGGTCAGCTGCTCATGTAGCTGCAGCGATGTCTTGGCGTGAGGTTTTCTTAAGCGAGTCAGTAAAGGGGTAGGTTTATGGAATCTTGTCAGCCAATCAATTTCGCATTTCAGTCTTTTAAATGAATATGATCCTCTTTCTGGTCTAACTCCACTACGAGTCGCAATCAAAGAGAATGATGAAGAGACAGTTCAGTCTTTAGTAACTATGGATAATATCAAGGCAACTGAAAAAGATGAGGATGGTAATACTGTTCTCCATTTGGTTTTGGGAGATACTTCGGTGAAAATTTTATCTGTAAGTTTATATATTATTATCATTTCTTCGGAACAAATACCTTGCTATAGTTGACAATATCTGAGATATATTTAGGTCTATAACATGTTAAGTTGTCCTAAACTATTTGTTATAGATAGAAGATATGATTAAGTATCACAGAAAACAGTTATGTGTTGCTAAGTCACTTCTATAGACCTTACCTATACTCATCCAGAGGTATCCCTAGTCTGAAAGGTGTAGTCCGAAAAGTACCTGGTCACTTCTTTTTTTATCTTCCTC